AATTTTAAAGGGATGTTTCCCGCCTACATACAACTCAAAAATTCAAACCCAGCCCCCAGGTATGCTCCCAGGTCACTTGTGGTCCCGTGGAAGTTGTGGCGGGAAAAGTGCTAACTCGATAACCAGGAAAGTTGCGGGGCTCAGATTTTTGGAGAATATTTCCCGTCCAAATAAAACATAAATCTTCAAATTCAGTCTTCATTTACGCGTGATTCTCGTGTACGGGCAATTAAATTTCTGGCAGTTAATCGTTGAACAGTTGGATTATTTTCAAAAGGAACCGCCAAATGGAAACAGTTCACTTTTTTTTATGAAGCAGTTGGGTTACTCTCAAAAAACACCGCTACACGGGAATAGTTTATTTCTTTCTATGTAAAATTACGTTTGAGCTACTTTCAAGAAAAACCGCTAAACGGAAATACTTTATTTATTTTTATGCAAAATTTACGATGATTTTCGGCATTAAGCACACAAGGTAGGTGTGAAGAAACAACCGTCATGCAGTTAACCCAATTCAAGTTTTGTGCAAAAACGCACGATCGCTCCGGCTCGCCTGGTGCATTCCAGCCTATGTTACTAAATGTTTTTTTGTATTTACAGTAGTGTCTGAGCAGTAATTTATCCACCCGGTCCTGAGCTTCTGCGCAGCTGGTTGCCTTTGTGCAAGCCCAAGCTGAGGAATTTATTAGGCGAATTTAGTAGGTGTAGCGGTTAAATCAGCACTACTGCGTCTAAGAGCAGGAAGGTCGAATCGAAAGCAGAGGCTTCGAAAAAAAGCTGGTTGCTACCTTCTTCTGACTGGACCAAGCTCCTATCCAATGCTGTGAAACGGCTAGCAGTTCCATGATGCTCTGAATCATTTATGATTTTTTTTCACTTACCGTTTGAGATTCTTTGCTCACAGTTAAAGTACTCGAAGATCAGTACTCAACTTACGTTGTAGTAGTTGTAGTAGTCGTGGTTGTAGTGCTGGTGGTGGTTGTTACGGTCGTGATAACCTCATCGACAATGACTTCAGTTGCACGTACTGGCATAAGTATGGAGCTGTGCCATGCGTCGACAACCGCCGACTTCTTTGGTACCACAACCAAGGGACCACGCTCTAACACAACCGGTGACGGTGCACCAATAATTGCAGGTCCGGGTACTACAACAGCTTTAGGCGAAAGAGTAGGCTCTGGTTGAGGTATTGCGACTGAGGGCAACGTGTCGATAAGTGTAGGCTCTGTTTCAGGAGCTATTATCACTTTAGGCTTTGTAATAGTATGCTCTGGTCGAGGCACGGGAACTGCTGGCAGCGCGGTAATGAAAGCTGGCACCGGTTCAGGTGCCGTGGCTGTCCCAGCTGCGGAGATCGGCTGTGGTTCGGGTATCACAACAGATGGTCGCGTATCGATATTTGTAGGTACCATTTCAGGTGCGGCTATCACTTCACTTTTCGCAACAATAGGCTCTGTCTGTGGTAATGGAACTGGTGGTAGTGTGTCAGTAATGACAGGCCTTTGTGAATCTGATTCTGCAACTATTGTAGGTTCAAGAAGCGGTGTTTCTGGCTGAGCTACTGAAACTTGTTCAGGTAAAGCAACAAAAACAGGCGCTGGTTCTGGGGTTGCGATTTTTGCTTCGGCAGCAATGACTGGTTCTGGTTCAGGTAGCGCAACTGCTGCAGATTTAACAATAACAGGTTCTGGCTGAGGTATTGCTACTTTAATAGGCAAGGCAACAAAAACAGACCCTACGTCGGGTACCATGACTGTATCAGGTGCAGCAACCACGTAAAAATCATTAGATTGCGCGTGTATGATGGGAGCTGGCGCAACTTCTGTTTGTGGTACAAATTTGGTCAGGTTCAACGCTGCGTCTGACATATTCGATCCGTACGCCTGCGACTGTAAGACAGCAGTTACTGGATTAACTGGTGCCAAGCTGTATGCATCTTCCTCCTGAAAAAATTAAGATAGACCTGAAAGTAATCATCAAAATAATGCAGCAGTTAAAGTAGAAATGTTGGAAAATTGGCATCCTTACGTTTAGCAGTCGAGGCATCGATAACGAGTGCTGTGGAATTGTTTTAAAGTTCCTTGATTGTTCTTCATCATTAACTGGGGGTGGATCTGCAGTTTCGTCATTAAATGATACTCACGGCATATCAACATTCAATAAAGTTTCAACCCAGCATTTGTGAACAAAGCAACGCATGTTAGAAAGAAGAGTTGGGCTGCTCGACTGACACACAGTAGATGGATAAAGGCGATTTATTAAATGGCACCCGTACA